TCACAGAGGGTTCCAGAGAACCCTGGGCGTGCCGTAGTGCTGCCCAGAGTCCACCGAAACGTAGAGAGTGGGATTCAGGTGTTTGCATTCTCAGGTGGTTCCAGGTACCTGTGTTTGACAGACCTTACAAGAGAATCATTTTCAGAAATACTCAGAACATGCTGAGTATGTTTTTTCCCCCAAAGGGCTCAAACTAGTCCCAGGAAAGTCTTAAAACAGAATAAGCATTTTAACGCTTTTAGTCAGCTTTGAGCTTTAAGAGCTCTGCTGAAGCGCTGTAGACTTCGTGGAAATTACTTGGCCACATTTTCTTGAATGCAGAGGTAAAATAAGCATATACAGTGCTGACGTCTTGGAAGCTTGCTATGTAGACCAGATGCATGAGAAAGCAAAATATTGTAGACTTTTTTTAAAACTGCATTTTTTCCTCTAGTGAGCATGAATTCACTTAACTATAGGTTATATTAGTGCACTAAATTCCCTATGGGTTAAAAAAAATTAAAACATTTACCGTACAGCTTTGGAATGTCCTGTTTTTCTGCACAAAGGTGTGGGTCCTGCATACACAGTGTCCATTATCAGATGGGAGCCTTTCCTGGAAAGATAATTAAAACGCTGCATCACTCAGAGCCATGCAGATCCTGAACCAGGAACAAGGTTTCCAAACAAACCTCAACTCCCAAACTCCAGCCCCAGAACCCTCCCCCCCAGGGATCTGGCTTTGTTGGAAGCAGTAGAGATTGCAGCAGTGATCAAGAGGGGTTTTATTAATTGAAGAGATGAGAAGTATATCGGTTCAGCCTTTGTGGGTATATACATAATTCATTTTTTTCTGCTCAGCTGTAACTGTAAATTCAGACTCATTCCCCGTGACAGCTTCTTTGGAGGTGCTCTCGGCTGCTGTAAACAAGAGAGCAGGAGCGGGCTGAAGAAGTGTCCTTAGTTGATTCGAAGAGCTTTTATTTGGAACTAAATACCAAGAGAAACAAGGCTTTTTTTCAAAGAGATCAGGAAAAGGAAGACATGTGCTTGGAGATAAGGACAGATAAAAGCATTCCATTTAAAGATGCCTGTGACAGAAATCGAGATGTTCATCTGCCAAGTCAGTAATTTCACAGCCTTATGACCATGCAGAGCTTCCGTTCCTGTTACCTTTTCCCACACAAACTGTAAGCACCGAATTATTGGCATGAAAGTTCCTTTTGGTTTGTCCAAGCGGCTCAGCCCTTTGGGAAGGAATTACACAGGTTGAGCTTGCAGATAAAACTCTCTTTGACTTCAGACGGGAAGAACGGTTCTCCCGTAAGATTCCGTTCAGCTTTCTGAGGCACAGCAGGGCCCGGGAACAGTCTGTGAGTTCCCGGCCCTTGGAAGGTTTGAGGACAGGTCAGACAAAGGAGCGGTTTGGGCAGAGGCCTTCCCCCGCACGTTTCCACGTCTCCTTGTTTTTCCGTGAGGAATGAGGACAGCCGAAATGGCCATTTGAGGTGACTTCCAGCGCTGTTCTCTGATTCACTGGAGTGAGATCACAGTGACAGCAGATTCTGGACGGTGCCTAGAGTAATGGAGGTCAGGAGCTTAAAATGCATTTGCTGCTTTAAAACAGGGGGGTTTGGTCTGGTGTTTTGAAGCAAGCAGTACAAAATTCTTTGAAAACCTCAGCTTTGCAGGTTTCACAAGCCAGCATAGGCGAACAGCAAGCGTTCTAGGCTAAAATTATCCGTGCTCTCGTTAGAAGGCCGTAAGAGGGAGCATATGGATTGATACGAGCGTAAGCATGGAAGGGCCTGTCAGAGCTGCGCTGCCGTGCAGCAGCTTCCCCCCAAGACAGGAGCCGTCCCGATGCCTGCTGTCCGTTCCCGATGCCTGCTGTCCATTCTCGATGCCTGCTGTCCACTCCCACGGGGACCTACAGCGGACGCACTGTGAGAGATTCGACCCGTGCTTTTCTCTTTGGAAGGGACATTTAGTTCCCTGACCTGTCTGCTGAGGTTGGAGAGGGCTCCCCTTGTGTGCTTCGCTTTTGTTTCCTTTCCTCTTCGGGTTGTGCTTTGCCTCCCTGCCCAACGCTCGTTAGTGGTCCCACGGTGTTTGTCGCACAGTCATTACCCCTGCCGGGCTCAGGCAGCGGACAGGCTCCCGCGTGCCAGGCAGCCTGGAAGCCCACACCACTTCTGTGCCCTCCTTTCTTGTTTTTTTTCCCCTTCCTGCTAGGAGCAATTAAACATTTGCCTGAAGATTTTGCATGCATCCTGGCTTAGGCTTCACGTCCACCAAAGCACGTTCAGCTTTGGCATCAGCGGTCGAAGCGTTTGTTTAAAATGAGGCAGGCGGGTAAGCGCCCGGCCAGCAGCAGCCTCGGAGCTCTGCCACCCCTCAGCCTCTGCAGCTTTGGCGTTGGCAGAGCAGGGCGCCTGCAACGCGCTTCCAGAGGGCTCCTCCTCCGTGCAGGAGCTTGGCCAAGAGGCAGTTTCACCATCACTGGGGTTTTTTGGGTTTCGCTGGTCTCAACCCTGTGCAGGGGGCCCCTGCTGCTGGCTGATGAGGATGGGGGTATGGGAAGGGGGAAGGCAGCTGCCCCCACCCGCAGCCAGCCGGGCTCCGTCAGGTGCCCCTGGGCCCCCTCAGACCGGCCCTGCTGGCGGAGAGGGGGTTTGGGTTGGGGCAGGCGGGAGAGGGAGAGGGCAAGGCCTTCCCCCGCACCTTCCCACGTTCCCCCCTCGGTCGCAGACGCTGGCCAAGGCCTGCAGCAGCCCCCACGCTTCGCCTGCGCACGGGGCCCCTGGGCAGCCCGGCCCGTGGCACTGTCCCTTCCCTCCCTCCAGGCAGGGCTCCTCAGCCTCGCCCGCATCCCTGCTCGCCCCGAGCCGCTGAGCACAGCCGGTGGAGGTAGAATCGTGGAATCGTTTCGGTTGGAAAAGACCTCTGAGATCATCGAGTCGAGCTGCTAACCTAACGCTGCCAAGGCCACCGCTGCACCAGCGGCACTAAAGGCCCCGGTGCAGCGTCGGGTGCTGGTGCGCAGCCGGGCTGCTGCAGCGCGGCAGCCTCCTGCCTGCGCGCCGGATTTCCCGCGGGTTCACCAGCGTGCTCGTGAAATCAGTCCCTGCAGACGAGCGCCGCCCTCGCAGGTTACAGAGCAGCCCCACGTCTGTCAGCAGGGACGGGCTTCTCCCGGCCTCGCAGCTCGCTCCGAGGATAGGAGCGTGCAGAGCCGGAGAGCCGGGGGCTGGAGCTCACACACCCAGCGAGGACGCGTGCTCGCAGCGCGCTGGGCTGTCCCAAAGCCCACACGGGCCTGTTCCTCCCGGGAAGCTGCGCCACATTTAGGCCAGAGCTGCTCAAAGAACCAGTTTAGACGAGATTCCCGCGTCCGGTGCTTTCAGTCTGGCATCTTTTACCACCACTAAATGCAAAGCTTTTAATTAATAACAGGCTAAGATGCCGGGAGCAGAGGTGCCATTACGAGCTGTAAACGCGGGCGGTGTCAGTCGCAGGGCTGCTGGGCTCTTTTGTGTGCCTGTGTTGGTGGTGAGTTCTGTGACCTGACTTCTTCTCTAAGCCTGACACAGAAATGATGATGACTTCTAGGCTGCTGCACAGAGCTTTTCAAAACAGATGGGAGAATTTCAGATTTAGTCTCCAGTAAATATGAGTTATGTATGCAAATATTCTTTAGTTAGGAAGCTTCCTCTTCCTTTTACTGTTTGAAAAGGCAGATAATGTCAGAGTCAGGACCAGCTTCACTGTTTCTCGTACTTGTGTTTCTGCAGTTCGCCCCGTTTGGAGAGGCTAAGATTGCTAACCACGGCCTGTGTTCAAAGAGCCGGTGCTGAAGGGAACATCTTGTGGAGTCTGGGGTTTAAAATTCTATTTTCAGTATTTATATTTTGTTTCAACTTTGATTGGTACGCTGTAGAGGCTCATCCCGCAAATATTTACACAAGCCAAGCTTTCTATAGATAGTTCATTCGAGCTCAATGGGAGCTCACCTTAATGAGGGCACATGTTCTGCAGTAGCACTTATTTAGGACTGAACATTGAAAGGCTTAGTTGCATCTGCTAGCCATATTTTTTAATATGTATATATATATATATGTATGTATACACACACATAGACACACACACATGTATGATCATTATTTTAGGTTCTGAGAAAGAAAGAAAGAATATTCAGTTACTTACTGATCTCCACCTGAGAGAAGGCTCAGTGAGATAGAAACCAGCAGCATGGTGAGTATTCGTTTACAGCATCGATGGTGCCATAGACAACTGCTTCTAACAGAATCAGTTATAGTATTAAAAACTGCAGAGTTTTAAAACCAAGTTTTAGGGATGTGGATGCAAGGTCCCTTTTTTAGTTTCTGAGAAGCATCCCACGAGCAACGTCTCCATCTGTCCAATGTCCCTTTGAGGCAACAGCGCTGCCCTTTTGACAGACGACAGACGTACGAGCCCCGCTGGCCCTGGGAGGTGGGAGGCTGAGAAGCAGATTCCTGACACTTTCCCTTGTTGTTCTGCGTGAGCGAGTGCAGAATTGTCCACGGGCACGAGCTCGCTCGGGTCACAGGGCTCGGGTTGGCCAACAGCGCCGCGCTCCAGCGCGTCCCTCTGCCGTGGGCTGTGCTGGGCGCTGCGCGGTGGTTCGGCAGGGGTTAACCCCAGTTACCCAGTGGGTTTGGAACGCAGGTGAACAGCGGCTGTGGCTCAGCTGAGGTATGATACGTGCTTAAGCTGAGCCCATAGGCACGCATAAATTACATCTATAATAAATTCATCATTCCAGGACCATGCCCACAAACAGGTCTTTGACAGGGACAAATCTATTTATTTAATTTAAAGAATGGACAGGTTGTGGGTCAGCGATTCCTCTAACGATTCTTTTTAAAAAAACAATTATTGCTTTATTGAGATGGGACTAGAAACAGTCCCCAGAACGCTTTTGTGCTATTTTACACACATCCTCTTTCACTTAACTTATCTCCAACACGTTTTTACAGAATGAGAGCGTCAGTGACAGAAGGTGCAGCAATGCCAGCTCATTTCGCGTGGCTCTCTCCAATCTCGTGACCTGGGCGCACACTCATGGGACCATATGCAGTCAGATCCCAGCCTTGGAGAATGTGCAGAACGTGGGTCATCCGAGCAAGGAAAATTCTGTCCTGTGGATATGTGGAGCTGGACATGCCTATCTCTGGCAGTGTGGAAAATTAGACATCAGAAGCAGAGAAGAGAACAAAGCTGTCAAAAAGAGAAGGTGGTCAGTAGCTTCTGAGGCGTCGTCGAGGGAAGCTAATTTAGGTGAAAAGAGGTTCAGGACAACTCCATCTTTTGAGAGGGCTGAAGCGGACGCTGTTAGCACAGGGTCATGTAGCAGATCTCCAGGGGTCACGCAGCAGAAAGATGATACAGTCTACATAATACACAGTGAGCCTTCACCCCGAGAAAAGGAGAAGAAAAGCGAGTCCATGAAATCGTGCTTTGCAGCAGAGCAGCATTTGTCCATGTCTGGTGGTGAAGTCAAAGCTGACAGATGTAAGGTGAAGCTAGAAAGCAAGGAAGATCTACAGATCATTTCTGACGAAGAGCAGTGTACGTCAGATGAAGACAACAAAGGGGTTGGAATCAACCAGAACGTGCTGTCAGACTCACCAGTTAACGGCATGACTGCTAAGGAAGATTTGCAAACACATCGCAGTCAGAAGGTGGCATTTAACAATCCGACAGCCACCCAAACATCTGGCTTTGCCCCCACGGGAAAGCCACCCCTACCTCTTCCCCAGTTTCTAACATCTCTCGTCAGCAATCCAGAGAGCCTGGAGGGCAGCGTCGTGAGGTTGGGTCCTCTTCATCCTGCAGGGCCCGTCACTGAAGCTTCCAGACCCAGGAACCCCCCTGGGCCAGCCGTGCCAAAAGAACATTTAAAATCTGTTCCCGTCTCCAGCATTGAAGCAAAGGCCCCGCTCGGCTCGCCCGCCTCTGTGACGTTCTTTGAGTTTGAAGCCGGTGTAGATGTCCAGCCGCCATTCCAGCTGAGCCCTCCCGACTGTGGCACACCAGGAATGGGCTTAAGTGGGAACGTCACTGAAAACCCTGCCGAGGAGGGCGAGCCATCAGGATCT